TATGTTTTCCCCTGCCTCAAATCGAGCCGTTCGACCGTGTGACTGCATTATATGACCCCTTTAACAAAAAATCTGCACATTTCACTCATATCCTTTACCAACTTCACTGGCTTCCTGTGGTCAATCGCATCCAGTTTAAACTGTTAGTCTTGGTTTATAAAGCCTGTCATGGCCCTGCACCTAAATACCTGGCTGAGTTAGTGCAACCATATGTTCCTGCTCGGACCCTCAGATCTAGCAATGACAATTTGCTTGTTGTACCCAGGTATAAACTCTCTACTGTGGGTGGTAGGGCTTTTAGTGTTGTAGGCCCTAAGCTGTGGAATAAGCTGTCGTCTGATCTTCGTGCCACCCCTAACCTACAGACCTTCAAATCTCAATTTAAAACTTTCTATTCACCATGCTCAAAACTATTCACCATGCTCAGTAAATAATTATTTTCCATTCTATTTCTCTGTCCTCCAATTTTTCGTTTTTTTATGTTACATGCTTTCTTTATCAAAATGTATGTTTTCTTTGATTATCTAACTTCTCATGTTAATTATTTATAGTTATTCGTTGCCTCCATCATCTATTTATTTAATTGTCTGTCAACTGTTTGTATTATTTTGTGAAGCGACCTTGGGTTCTTGAAAGGCGATATAAAAAATAAACATATTATTATTATTGTCATTGAACCGTCACAGCGACAGTTCTTCCGGCATCCCTTTGGTAAGCCGTTTATGTTTTCTTTATTTTAAGGTGCATTACATTTCAGAGGTAAACAATGAGTCCGCACACCAGAAGATGCTCCTAAGCGAGTTTTAATAGTTGCTCACCTCGTGTAACGTTTCGGGCCCAGCCCTTCATCAGACATAAACAAGTGGAGAGACACACCTCCTTATATACAGCCATACATGGTCACATGATCACATACATCCATGATAGAACCAATCAAGTGAAAGCACAATTACATCAGACAAACAGATAAAAATATGTAAGAAGTATATACCAACATTTATAATACAAGAAAATCTATTAGAAAATCTATTAAGTATATACCAACATTTATAATACAAAAAAATCTATTAAATATATTTGGTAGCTAAGAAAACCTAAAGTGCTTAAGGCACAGCCTAAAAAAATATATTTATTGAAAAAGTATCTCTACCACTGTGAACAATCATGATAGATGAGCCAGAATGTAAATGCATAAAGAATACCACAATGGTGTGTTACATATATCAAATCAGCAAAACGATCGCACAACATTTACAAAATTTGTTGAAAATTCTTTTTCATTGACATAAGTTATTTACAGGAATGGCCTCAGGTCAAAGTCTTCATTCAACCCTTTTGGAGCTAAAGTGTCCAGGGTATAAATCCAGAATGCTTCTCTTTTAAGCAACAGACGATTTACGTCTCCTCCACGGGAGGGCTGTTTCACAAGTTCAATGCCACAATATCTGAGAGAAGAAACGTTATGAGAGGCTTGTGAAAAGTGCACCGCTACTGGGCTTTTGATGTCATGATTACGAATGTTTGATCTGTGTTCTGAGATCCTTATTTTCAATGACCTGGTCGTTTTACCAACATAGGCCAAGCCGCACGGGCATTTAAGTAAATAAATAACATTTTTTGTGTTACAAGTAATCACACCTTTGACATCATAAAGTTTTCCAGTGCATGGGTGATTAAAGGTGGTGGTTTTATGTGTAAAGTTGCATTGAGTGCAGTTGCCACATCTGTAATTACCAAAGGGAATAGACTGCAAAAAATGTGGTGGAGTCAATGGTGGAAGATGAGCTCTCACCAACATATTTTTGAGATTAGGTGCTCTTTTGTACACAATGCGGGGTGATGTAGTAAAGCATTTAAGTGCTGAATCAGAGTCAATAATGTGCCAATGTTTTTTAATGATGGATTCGAACTCTCTGCCAAGAGGTGAATATTGGACAATACAGTTAACTCTAGACTCAGAAGTTCTGGATCTGGTGTTGCAGAGACAGTCAATTTGCGATGTATTTTCAAAACGGTTACGTGCTTGAGTAATCCATTCATGTTTGTATTGTCTCTGTTGAAAACGTTTTTCCAAATCAGATGCTTGGGCTTGGAAATCACTATCAGAACTACAGATCCGGCGAATGCGACTAAACTGAGACAAAGGCAGACTCTTCTTGAGTGGAATGGGATGAAAAGATTGTCCATGAAGAATAGAATTTCTGTCAGTACTTTTTCGATATAAGTTAGATCCCAGTCTATTCAAGTCTCTGTAAATAAGAATGTCTAAGAAGTTCATCTTGTGCCTGTCAAAATCCATTGTGAATTTCAAATCGCTACTCCTAGTTTTATTACATTTCATTACATTTCAGACACAAACGTTAAGCAGTAGACCAATCACAACAGACTGGAGCGGCTGACCAATCATACAGATGGCGATTTTCAAAAGGCGAGTTTTTAAAGAAACTGAAAGTGTTCAGTCAAAGGGTGAAAACAGACATTAAATGCTTTAAATGTATTCTAGTAGACCCCGTAAACAACATTATGAACCTGTAAATAAGCATAAGGGACCTCTTTAAGTTCATACCTGTTTCTCTGTCCTCTGAGCTGCAGCTGATACAGTGTTGTGGTTTTTATGTTCATCCATCATACACAGCACACATATACACTTCTGATCAGTGCGGCAGAAAACCTCGAGGAGCTTGTCGTGTTTCTGGCAGATCATCTCCTGCAGTCGTCCAGAGGCGTCAGTCAGATTGTGTTTCTTTCTTTTAAAGAAACTCTCATGTTTTTCAAGGTGACTCTGACAGTAAGAGTTCAGACACCCCAGACAGGACTTGATGGCTTTGCGTTTTCTTCCAGTACAGACGTCACACTGCACATCTCCAGCTCCAGCGTAACAGTCAGCAGGAAGTTTACGCTTCTTCAGTTTCTCCACCACTTCAGCCAGCATGGTGTTTTTAGCTAAAGCATGTCTTCTTCTGAAGGTCTGTCTGCACTGAGGGCAGCTGTAGACTCTCTTCTGATTCTCCTGATCCCTGCGGCCTGTAATACAACAGCTCTTACAGAAACTGTGTCCACAGGGAATGGTCACTGGATCCTTCAGGAGATCCTGACACACTGGACACAGGAACTCATCCTGAGAAAACCTGGCTTCTGCCATTTTACTGCATAAATACAGAGACACAAACACACAACAGCTCAACTACACTTCAGTTTCTCTTTCCCTGAACTGAAACTGTTTCTTGTTTCCTGGTTCTGTGTTTGAGTGCCGTGTGCAAAACAAGCGTGTCTGTAAAGCAGTGTGACGAGGCATGATGGTAATAACGGTCCTGTACAAGAAATGATAGCTTAGTCACAATAGCAGTAGTCCCAAAAGTGTGCACTAAATATTAACAGAGTGAGGGGAAAAAAACAAGTGTATATATATATATATATATATCTATATATATATATATATATATATATATATATAACAGAGAAAGCCTTCGACTTAGTAAGATGGAACTTTTTATATAAAGTATTAACAAAATTCAGATTTCACCAGAACTTTACTGAAATAATTAAGACAATGTATGATAAACCTTGTGCAAGGATTAAAATGAATGGGGATTTATCAGATCCATTTCAATTAGAGCGAGGCACAAGACAGGGATGTCCCATCTCTCCACTTCTATTTGCCCCATTTATTGAACCACTGAGCCAATGGATTAGGCAGAACCATTCAATTAAAGGGATAGAAATGGAGTCGGGAGAGCCTTAATTAGCTCTCTTTGCGGACGATATATTGTTATTCACAAGTTCCCTCCCTACACTATTTAACTTTCTCAAGGGGTATGAGGCTATAACGGGTTACTCAATGTTTCCATAACCCAGGTACTAACACTAAATTTTATTCCACCAAGACAAATTAAAGAGAAATATAATTTAAATTGGAATACTAAATCAATTAATTACTTAAGAGTAAGCATATCGGGAGACTATTCAGACTTATTTGATAAACATTTTGGCCCTTTGATTAAGAAAATAAAATCTGACCTAATACGTTGGAACCTTATCCCCCTATTCAGCCTAAATTCCAGAGTTGACTCTGTGCGAATAATTATTCTACCAACATTATTGTATCTCTATCAGACACTTCCGGTGGAAATTCCGAACCAACAATTTCTAGAATGGAATAAATTAATATCTAGATTTTTATCGCAGGGTAAAAAACCCAGAATAAGATTTAAAATGCTACAGTTAAGAAAAGAAAATGGTGGGTTAAGTCTTCCATGCGTAAAATACTATTACTATGCTGCCCAATTAAGGCCATTAGTCTGTTGGAGTAGTCCAGTATATTTAGCAAAATGGATTGAAAAAGAGCGAGGGATGATGGATGAGTCCCCGTTATCTGCCCTCATTGCAACAAACTAAGAACTAGAATGAATAAGGAAACAAACCCATGGATCAAGGTATCATTTACAATTTGGCATTTGACAATGAAAATAGGGGGTTTGAATGACGCATCGAGAATATTGGGCCAGTTGTTCAAAGGTAAGCTGATCGGATTTTGGTTATCGGATTGGATCAAATCTTGAAAATGGGTTGTTCAAAAGGGAAAGAAGGAATCTGAAATCAGATTAGATCAGGGAATCCAATCCTAGTTTTAATCTGGATCAAACCTTCAGTTTGTGTTGTTCAAAACTTGTCAGTGGGATTTGGATAACTTTGATCCAAAAAAACAGGATTATCCTGATCCCAACAGGGGGTAGGATTTCAAGGTGGATTTCAGGAAGAAAATGTAGTAAAACTTTAAAATTGGTCAAATAATACATTTGCATCATTTAGTGTATATACTTTTATTTATATTTTGCACTTGACTTGTGTAACCGTCGTAACAGTGATAAAGTAGACATGGGCTAACAATTAAGCTATTCAGTATAGTAAAGTAAAAATAAAATAAAAATTATCTTGTCCCCATGAAATAATCCCCCAAACAGATTTCAATAACAAACAAAAATAATATATACATTTTTCGGTCATTCATCACCGTTAATTTCAAAGAAACAATCATCAGAGATGAGCCTGTCAAAATAATGTCTAACAATTGCATCCCTTACTATACGTCCAGTCAGTCCCTGATTCTGACAGACCACCAGAGGTTGGTCTGGTTCTTCAACAGGCTCAGGTGCATCATAAACATCATCACAGAGAGGGACATTGCGCCTGGTAGCGATGTTGTGCAGGACGATACACGCAAGTATTATGTTGCATGCTCCCTGTGGTTCCACTCGCAAGTAGTTAAGGCATGCAAAGCGTCTCTTCAGAACTCCATTTAAACGCTCAATTGCACATCTTGTTTTGCAATGAGCAGTGTTGAAGCGTGCCTGCGCAGGTGTGGTTGCTGCAAGAAAAGGAGTCATCAGCCATGGTAGGAGTGGATAGGCACTGTCTCCTAATATTATGCCATCCGGTCGGTTGGTTTGGAGCTCTCTGTATAAAGCACTCTCTCTTAGGATGCGTGCATCATGAACAGACCCAGGCCACTTCACGTCACAGTTTGTGATGATGAGGTCAGCATCGCCCACAAGTTGGATGTTGATGCTGCGCCTCCCCTTTCGATTGATGTACTCCCGATCCCTCTCATGAGGTGCTTGGATATGCACATGAGTGCAGTCAATAACCCCAATAGTATTGGGCATGTTCCCCAAAAGAAAAAACTTGTGCTTGGTCTGGGCAATCTGGACATCCTTTGGAAGTGAAACAAACTGATTGACCAGGCTGGCCAATGCAATTGACACAGCTTTCACTACATCACTCACAGTTGATTTGTCCACTCCCATATTATCACCAACAACTTGGTAGAAAGTCCCAGATGCATTGAAGCGCAGACCAATGAGGACCTGTTCTTCCACAGACAGACTGTGACTCCTTCGGGTTCTCCGTTGAAGTTTTGGCCTGACAAGGTCTGCAATGTACTTAATATCAGCATTCCCAAAGCGAAAGCGAGCATACAGTTCTTCAGTGGTGTATTGCTCCAGTGGTTGTGCACGCTCAACATACACCCTTTGACGGTATCCTCTTCCACCAACACGGTGGTAGCGATGGACAATACCTGCCATGTCAGTGCCTCTCTCTAAGTCCTCTGAGAAAGGCTGAATATAAGATGCTGTCAAATACCCACACACCAATTGGCTGACGTGCTGTGGCTTGTGTTCAATTAAATCAATCATGCCCAAGGCCTAAATACTATGTTCACTACAACAGAAGCGGTGAAACCATGGACTCAAAAGGACCTAATTTCACTGTTGCAGAAACCCATGCACTGCTGGAGGGTGTTAAGTGCCATTATGCCTCAATAGTAGGAAGCTCTGTTGCAGGTGGAATGGTGACTAACAAAAGGAAGAAAGACATTTGGGTTGAAATCACCCAGAATGTAAATGCAATGGGGTCTGGCCAGAAGAGGACCTTGGAGCAAGTGAAATTTAGATGGAAGAATCTGAGGGCCAGAGTAATGAAGGACCTTGCTGAAGCAAAAAACACCCAAACAGGCAACAAATCCTTTAAGAAAGGTGAATACAGATGTGATTCTGGACATTATCGGAGGTGAGAACTCTAAAGCTCTGCATGGGATTCAAGGTGTTGTAGGGGATGGTGAGCCTACAATTGTGGAGGAAAGTGAGCCAGTTCCTCCTAATGCAGAGGAAACATTCATGAATGAATTCTGGATCTCAGAGTCAGCCCTATTATAGAAGAACAACCTAGATCCTCACTGGTAGAGCCAGCAGTCACAGGAGCTCAGAAAAGAGGCTTGAAGCTTCCTTTGCCGAATAAAAATGATGATTTCTATGAATCACTTCTTAAACGAGAAACTGAAAGAGCAGAAGCACAGATACTCCTGGCAGAGGAACAAATCAAGCTGACCAAACTACAGCAAACCAAAGCGAAACTTCAGATCCACCTCCTAAAAGCGGGGCTTGGAAATGCTGATCTCTCCTCCTCAGATGAAGAAGAACCCTGAACATTCTTTATTTCGTTAACTATTGGATATTTAGCCATTTCATTTTTTTAAGATGTTTTCAAAATGTCCACAATGTATTTGTTAATGTATGTTTGTTGTTTATTTTGTTGTGGTTCAGATGTGGGTCATAAAATAAATTATGATTAGAAGTGGATGTTTATGTTATTTTTGTGTTTTGTCTCAAGAAACACTTACAGTGACTTACTACAGTTGGCTCTTCTACCTGTTCTTTACATAGCTGGTAGCCCACATTGTGATATGTTGTCCCATTTAGAGCACTGGTAATCCGGATTTGGTAATCTTGAAAACTGTGTATCTGGATCAGGGTGATCCAGTCCAATGTTGCTTTGAAAAACCGGCATAAAAGTAAAACGGATTACCTGATCCTGGATAGGAAAAAATGGGATTTCCAAATCCGGATCATTTTGATCCAGATTAAATGTTTTGAACAACTGGCCCATTAAGATAGTGTGCCTTTGATACTGACTTCATCCCAAACAGAATAGACAATCGATTTCGTATTTGGGCTAAATTAGGAATCTCAAGTTATCACGCTCTTTTCGACAAGGGTAAAATCCAAAGCTTTGATTCACTAAAGGAAAAATGTGGGCTTAACCAAAGCGACTTTTATAGATATCTTCAAGTTAGGCATTATATCGAAAGTAAAATTAAACCAGGAGTACTGTCAAGAGCTGAGTCAGGAATAATAATGGTGTTTCTAGCAGTATCCAAGGCTCAGCCATGTAACAAGATCATTTCAAAGTTGTATAAGGGTTTTTTCCAAAATCTACCCCAAAATACTCTATATGTAAGGGACAAGTTGATAAGGGAAGGATTGATCCCTGAAGGAGGGAACGGAGGACGTATTCGACGTCAACTGAATGGGGATCACACCAGGGAGCCAATCATCTTCGAGTACTATTGAACGAGCCAATGGGAATTGGCGTGCGTGATGACATCACACACTCCGCCCCCGTGGGTATAAATACGGAAGTGGATGCACGCACTAGTTGCTTTTTCGCTGAGGAGCCGAGCGTAACTCGGAGTCAGCGGTGGTCCAGCGGTAGTGGCAAGGGGACTACGTCCTCCGTTCCCTCCTTCAGGGAACAGTGGGTTGCATACGCAACCAGGACGTTCCCTTTCAGTCGAGAACGTCAGACGTAGTCGAAGTCGACTGAATGGGGATAACCATTGAACACGCCACTAAAGCTGCCACCTTCCAGTGCCTAGACAAAAGCCTCCAGATCCTCCCGCAATTTAAGGTGGGAAGGTACAGGGCTTAGGCCAGGGAAGTCACTGCTGTTCCTACAGGACCACTGGGAAAGCGTTCCCTGTACATGGAAGAAAGGGACGCTGCGGAAGCCACATCCTGCCCGAAGGGAGGAAACGTGGAGAATACACATATGAACTGGGCGGATGACCGGGCAGTACAACATATGGAATGTCACTGGGGTGGCTCCAGCCTAAGACAGGGGGGAGACTCAACCAGACAGTGACGGCAGAGCAGGCTCTGCCAAGGGAAGACACGGGCTCGCCGCAGGGAGCCGTACCGTGGAAAAATACACATATGGGATCGCCGTAGGGATCACAGCATATGGACCCAGCCTAACACAGGTTCCACCAGTGCATACGAGTGATAGGCCTGGCTTCGGACGATCCGCCACGTCCGTTGCCGAGGGGTATGGAGGAACTCGACAGGGTTCGGCTAAAAAGGGGAACTCAACTGGAGCAAGAATTGCGCACGTATCCAGTCCATAGGAGGGGAATGGTGCAGCAAGCCGACACAACAAACTGGGCTTACAGTGAAACTGGCTTCATGTGAAGGGAGCCCACGGGAAGCAGCGGTTCAACTAAGGTGTCGCCCAGCCCCCAACTCTAGAATATCTGTCAGCAAAGCACTCTTTGTCAACGCCTGAGTGGGAGCACACACTCATTTAAGAGGAGCTCACCACCTAAGTGGACATGTGCATCTCGGGAAATTCACCAAGAAGAAGGGAGCCACATTTCAGTGGGCCAACCTCGCTTGGAAACAGCCTTCCCTCTCTGCTGATTTCCTAAACAGATAAGAGCTGGTCTGAGGTCCTTAGGCTTGCGTTCTGTACATGTAAAACCGCAATGAAGCGGACGGACAGAGAAAGCCAGGGCTGGGTCTGCCTCCTCCAGGCAGCGCTTGCAGGCTCACCACCTGGTCCCAGTTTAACCCTCTGGGGCCCGAGGTGTTTTCTGGGTCCTGGAGGTGTTCTGACATGCTCTGACATTTGTGCTTTTTTCTGATACTTGTGACATTTTCATGGCAAAAGTCTGATTACACTGTATTCAGCACAAACTCTGCTACAGTAATATGTCAGCAACATGTATGTAAAAGTTCTTAGTTTTGAGATAATGACGTTTATGCGTGGTTTGTGAAAAAACGAAAAAATATTGTCACTGAAATAATGTCATGAAACCCATACTAATTATTTCTTCACAAGACTTTTGAAATTTGTATCACGTAGCCTAGAATATTTGCTTCAAAACTATGTGAAAATCATCCTGATTACTCATTCAGATAAGACAATATATAGATTTAAAACTTGTAAGACATGTTTTGTGTAAGAAAGCATTATGCGTGGAGGCGTTAACCAGCCATTAATATTGAGTGTTTTAACACCTGAGAAAGACAAAGACCCTCCCCTAATGGCCCTATAAGGTGCTATCATTATGAGGGGAGACTTAAAAAAGAATTGCTTTTAGATTGTTTGGATTTATTTACAACACAACATAATCCAAAGATACACAACAAATGACAAAAAAGCACATTAGTAAACACACTGATCTAAAGACAGAGACTTGGTCAGTCAAACACCTTTGTGCCATTCCTAAAACATAGTAGGCCCTAGGCTACATACCTGTCATCTCCAAGGTGTTTCATTTTTTGTTCATGTTCATGTACAGAGACGTGAATGTTTAAGTCAGCAGGACTCATGAGTGAAATCTGGTCCCTTTAAAAATATTTTTTTAAGAAAAGAAAACCACGTGAACATGCTGATATCAAGAGAAACTATTGGGCTGCACGATTTTGGGAATACGTTTTAGATTTTACTGGTTAAAATTATTAAATTGACTAAATACATACACTATATATATATGAACACCAAGTTTGTTGTGCCTTGTAGGCATATATGTGTAGGGCTATATAAATTTTTTACTTCAAACGTTTCCATACATTACGACGTTATGGAATGAGATTTCTGTGGGTTTGAATGGCACATTTTGCTTTTCAAACCCACAGGGCGAGTGACTCAAACTCACAGCGCGTGCAGAGGGCATTTACTGAAGTGATCGAGCCGCTCCAAACTATGAAACATTATTCTTACTGTTATGGAATTTTTATATTCTATTTGATTTTTGGCTCCTTATTCCTGAGTTACGAGAACAGAGAATCTTGTTTTTCTGTATCATGTTTATACAGCTGGAAAACCCACGAGAAGACATCTAAGAGGGAGAATACAGAGCCCACACCTTCTGCCCCCCAGGGGAGCAGAAGGTAATTTAGGTTGTAAATGAAGACCTTTTGACTTTTCAAGAACAAAGGACAATTTGACCTGCCTGGGAAGAAGGGGTTTTTACAATGCAAAAGACTATATAATGTGCTGCCTGCAAAAAACTGGCAGGTCTTATTCATGCCACGAGGTAGCTGTCGGGGAATGTTTTTGTAAACAACCTCCTCTAAAAGAATAAACATCTTTTAGAGTACAATTTGAATCTGATGTCTCTTACTATGATGCTCTTTGTTTAATAATTGATTTTGCCTTATCAATTGGTGTCAGAAGTGATGATCTCACGACGTTTCCTTTCTGGTCCTGAAGACAATTTTTGACGACTGATCATCCCAAAGCAACAGGCTTTGGTCTTACCTTGAAAATTGAGAGAGAAGAGCAAAACTGCCGGCTCATTTGAGTCGACTCACTGGGGAGGAGCCGTCACGAGCGACCCGTCACTACAAGCCAATTTTATGCCGAAAACTAGCTCGTAAAGCGGACGAAGGAGCCGCGGTGAACGAAATAATCACGACTGATTAATTGGTTTACAAAATTGTTTTTAATTGGCACCTGAGGGAGT